CCCCCTCTGCCTTAAAGGACCAGGGGAATCCCTGTGGCAGAATATTTGACAACTGTCACTGCAAAGGGCAGACTCCTCTGCCCCATCTCTTCAGGTAACCCTGACTTGTAACCCAAGCTGGTTACATTCCTGAGTGAGGGGGGAAAACCTGCTCCCTCTGCCTACATGACTGGCATCACATACCTAGGTTGGGGGCTTAAACTCCCTATTGTTCTAAGCAATGCCAACCTGACTGGGAGAGGGCTAAAGACCCTGCCAGTCTACCCAGCAACCAGCGATTCATTTCAAATTGGTTGGCTGGCAGGGAACAGTTGCTGGGCTTCATTGGATCAGGTAAATGAGGTCACAATGTCTACGTAAGTGAAGGACTGCCCAATAGGAGGGACAGTAGCCATGATGAGAACTCAGAGAAGCTGGACTCTTTCCATCTTGAAACTCACGATCAGTGAACTGCTTGCCTCCAGAGGGAATCTCCACCTGCCTCTGGATGACACTTGTGAGTTTCTTTTCACAGTCAACTCCCTTCATTGCCCAGTCCTCTGGCCCATTCAATCCAACTACCTCCTTGCATTCAGTTTAGGCTGTTTTTTCCTCTTCATTGCCTGGGTGCTGGCAGAGGGAGCCCAGCAATCACCTGAGAGAACTTCCCTTCTCCCAGTTGTGGCAAGTAGCACCACGGTAGCTTGCCACAGCTGGAAGCAGCCATTACAGCTTTCCCTTCCTTTATGCTGTACACACATTCCTGGAAAATGGTGCATAACTCAAATTCATATACAGAGAATCCACTTTACAGTGTAACAAATATGGATACATTCCAAGACCTCAGTTGTACTGACCACCAGACCCATTTCTACAAGGTACTTACTAACAGCAGACAGTACACAAACACAGGGTGGTGGTGGTGAATATTACTATAACAGGGATGACAACTACAGAAACACGTGTCACAGACAACAAGCAAGGAGCACAGATGCACACAGGAGACTATATTTTAGTGAATGTCACTCCCACAGTTCACTGCACAAAAGCAGCTGACTGTGGGCTTCTACCATACTAATTACATAAGAGTGAATTTACCTTGCATATAACAAATTTTTGGTATAAGAAGGGTCATCACATAAGAGTGAATTCGCCCATACAGAACCCATATAAAGCAAGGAAAACCTGTATGGCACTTCTTAGTGCATATAGAAACACCAGGGAATCAATAGCAGCCCAACTCTAAAACCTCTTCTTAGGTCCTTGAGCAGCCTTAGCTAGAAGAAGTGTTATCTGCATCCCTTAAAATAATTTTGGTTATTCTCCAAAGTTTACTAAACACCCACAAGCATCTAAGCCTTTCTACAATCTTACTAAGTTTTCTGCTTCAGAGATAACTCACAGCAATGAGTTTTACTGGTAACCTTTCAATTTCTTTGAACATACCCTCGCTTTGTATTAGGAGTAAAGCCAGTCAAGAAATTGCTGGAACAGTTTACCAATTGAAAATGAGGATCTGTCAAAGCCTAGTGTTTTGCAGGACTATGGCAATTCTAATACATCTTTTTTATATATATGAGAGAGAAAGTCAAAAAAACAAAACACCTCTCTCATTTCAATGCAGTTTTGGATTAATTGCAAAATCTAGGGTCCAGAAGGAATTTCCCCCGTAGGTCAGACTGGCACAGATAGTTGGGGGGCTTTCCTTCTTCTGTAGTGCGAGGCATGGTTATCTTCAGAGCATATATTAAATCAGTCAGGCTTTGCCATTCCCCCATCTCTCTGACTTTTAGATATGGCATGTTATGGGGTGTTCTTCTGTTTCAGATGCTTTTTCTGGTATCAGCAAGTGAGGGTTTAGTGCTGCTTTTGGAATTTCTCAGTTAACAATTGTCTATGAATGCAGGAGACTGGACTCAATGGCCCAGGGGGCCCTTCCAAGCTTATTTTCTCTAGATAAATAACGGTGGCATTCTGTTCCTTCCTGGTTTTCTGTGTGGCCTTTTTTGATCATCTATATGACATTGTTGGCACATATATACCCAGAGAAATTCTGTTCCTAGACCTGGTAGTCCTGCATACATGTATGATTATGTATATGCGCGCACACACTCTTTGTGGATGGGTAGTAGCTGTAGACACCTCAAAGTGGGGTTGGCCAAAACCCAAGTCTACCAAGTTGAGACTTAGGAACAGGGGGAAGAAAAGCACCAAGTTTTATAGCTAACCATCTACAACATTCCACTAGGAAGGCAAAGAACCTGAGATCTGTGTTCAGTCAAAGGAGGATTGTCTCTCTGACTTCCCAGCACAGCATTTTCATTACACATTAGGTAGTACCCAATATTCTTTTCCAGTGCTTTCTTTTGAAGCTAGCCCCCTGGGCAGCCATGAGAGTTCTATAGGAAATGTGTGGGCCAGGAAAAAGAGCACAAGCCAGAAGCAGTGGCTCAGTGCATGCTCAATAGAATGGTTCTCTCACTTTGTTATCTTCTACATAATTAGAAGTCTACATAATTGTTCACACAGTCAGGGCTACACATCCAGGAATATAATTCCTCTATACTTGTAAATGCTGAAAATATTATTTAAATAACCAAATCTGGACACTTAGATAACCAGAAGGGAATAGAATGCCACCCATAGTGGCAATGTGCTTCTGCTGGAGATAGACCTACGAATTTCCTGTGAACAGACTTATTACCATTATATTTGAGGAAAAGAGAAGTGAAACATCAACATTTAATACATATTTATTTTCTTTTGATTAAACATTTGAAACACAAATAAACTGAATTAAAGATGAAACAAGTCAGTATTATTGAAACAAAACATGGCTTTTTGTTACCATTTCAACCCCCCCCACACAACATGTTGGATTCTTTGCTAGAACAGAAATGATGGTTTCTGGCATGCTCCAATTATAAGAAAAAAAGTGAGCGCAAAGTCAAATTTTCCTTTCCTATGCTATACAACATTTGCCATGTCTTTGTGACTTAATTTACATTTCCCAAATTGTCAGTCAATCTAGGTCTAAAATTTGTCACCTATTTTTGAAAAACTGCAGTATATTTTTACAGTATCTTTACTTGTATAACCCATGTATATTATACTACAATAAAAAGTAATAAATAATTAAAAAAAAAAAAAAAAAAAACCT